TTGTTGTTATATTTTGCTTTTTTTCTTTCTTTTATTTCAGCAAATTTCATTATCTGCAGCCGCCATCTTTGTACTAAACGGCAACACACACACACCACACACACACACACCCACACACACACACGCAGACAAAGGCAGACAGACAGAGGGAAATTTTTTACTTTTTTGGGAGCTTTATTTTACCTAAGCCAAATCCGCCCCTTGAAGTGTTTATCCTTTTCTTGTTGTTGTTGTTGTTGTTGTTGTTGTTGCTGTTTGGCTGAAGTGTTTTCAATTTAAGTTTAGCGAACAAAACGCCTTTTGATTTTTATTAGCTAAATAGCAGCACACGCCCACGCAGTGGGGGCGGCTGGGTTGCGGCTTTAAAGAAGGGTTTGGGGCTGACGCTGGGGCTGGGCTGGGCTGGGCTGGGCTGGAGCTGGGGCTGGGGCTGTGGGGCTCTTTGCCAAAAATTGCGCTGCTTGGCTGTTGGCCAGAACGGACACAAATTGAGTGAATTTATTGGCCCAGCCAGGGTTGTCGCCCTCGTAAATTATGCAAATAATATGGCGCCCCATTTGCAGCTGTTCCGTTTCGTTTCGTGCCGTTTCGTTCCGTTTTCTTTCAAGTATTTTCTTTGGTTGATTTTTTTGGTTTATGTTTTGTTGTTGCTGTTGTTTTTATTTATTTTATTTTTTTTTGTTTTTTTTTTTGGCAGCTCTTTGCTTGCTTTCAATGAGAGTCACTTAAATAATTATCATTTCCCGAGGCAAAACGCTCGTCAAAAGCTCATTTGGAGCGTCGGCGCTCATCGTCTCGCTGGGCATCTGACGAGCGACCAATTAGCCAACGAGACGAATGACGTCTCTCAATGCTCAGCGGTTTTATTAATTATGGGGAAAATCGGACTGCCGACTCCGGACGACGGACTGCCGACTGCCGACTGCCGATTGTGGACTGTGGAAATCGGAACGACCAAACGCACAAATGCGCATTAGCCGCTGATGTTGATGGCTTCGCGTGGCTTCCAGTCTTGTTTTTGGGTTTCCATCAAATACTCTACGAAAAGGGTAGACCAAACAGTCGCTTGCAGCTTGAAAATACCTTTCAAACCTCCTCATGATAAATGGTAATTGACTTAAGAAAACGTTTACGAATGCGATGCGAGTTACAAATTGGAATAGGAAATTTAAGAAGTCTATGAAGCGCTTTCATTCAGGAATTTTACTCAAATCAATTCTACAGATTAAAATGACTGCAAAGTGCAAGGGAGGACAATAGGAGTATGAAATGAGCAATATCTAATAGAGTTTTCAGTAAAGCACGATTAAGAATCAAGAGCGAAAATAATTCAAGAAAACTCTAAAGCATGAAATAATCAAGTTAACGTTTAAGGCTAAAGGACAAAGTGAAATTCAAGCTAACTCTGAAGCATGTTAGCGTTTAAGGATAAAGCACAAAATGGAATTAAAATATACTTAAACTATGAGCGGCAAATGCTACAAGCAAAACAAAGACGATCAGCAAAGTATAGGATAAGGATAAGCCGCAAAGAAGACACAAAGAAGGGGATCCAGTTCAGTTCCCAGTTTCTAATGAGCTGTAAGCGTATCTTCGATTCGTCTTAGGAATCATCCGCATTTGCCAGGTTTCTTTGTATTTTGATTTTTAGAAACATTCAACCAATTGACTAACTCACAACTCAGCAACTTCTCATTTCTGGCCCCGACTCCAGTTACGGCTGCAGCTCCAGCTCCAGCTCCAGTTCGAGCTCCACTTCAATTAATCTAGGGCCTAGGTAGGCCCCATAGAAATGATGGCAATTACTAGACGCGCTCGCGGTCGGCGAGGCTAATGAGCAGTAGGAGATCAGCTCAATTCATTCATCACTGATGATCACTGCTGATGATGATCAGCAGCAGCAGCAGCAGCAGCAAGAGAAGTCGGAGCAGCAACAGCTAATAGAGAGCATTGGATAGGGCAACACTGGCGTTTTACGGGGCGTGCCAATGGCGTTCTTATTAATTTGCTCAATTTCCACAAGAGAAATAATAAGAGTGCGAGAGAGAGAGTGAGAGAGAGAGAGGAGAAGGTCAGAGTGAAGTGAAGCGGTGGAGAAGGAGGAGCAGAAGGGAAAACCCAACGAAAAACTTAATTAAAATGTCGTAAACGAAAATTGTATGTTTGTTGGGCTTGTCGGATTCTCGGATTGTCGGGCAGGAGGCGGTTAGCTCCCAAAATAATTAAGACATTTCACTTCGGACCACGGACCACGGACCGCGGACCGAAATGGAAAAATTGTTAATACAAATTGTTTGTTGCCCAATTTGGGCCATGCCAAGTTTTTCCTGAAGCCATTGTAGTTATTGTTGTTGTTGTCGGGGCCGCGACCGAAAACAATAAAAATGACTAATGGCAGCTAATTTCCCGTCCAAGTAGGATGAGACGAACTGCTTCACTTTACTTGGCCCGTTTATCCAACAGCAGCGCCTCGAATTCAAGAGGCGGCTCAAAAACAAAACAACAACAACAACAACAACAACATCAGCAACAATAACTGAATATGTATGCGTGGGCGTTGCCTCATGAGCAATGGGCAGTGCAGTCGCCTCTAATGACAGGACTCGAGACTCGCATCTGAAATTTTTGGCATTGTGGCAATTGAACTGGCAGAGCGAATGGAAAACAAAAGCATGCATTCACCTGTCCGTACTACACTGCCACACAGCTGCCCTTATGCATATCTAATGAGTTCCATTTCTTTCCCACATCAAGAAATTCTCTTGTTTACCGAATGTTTGTCAACAGCCAGAGCGTTGAGATACGTTTGCTTAATCGGAGCTGAACAAGTTGACTACTCAGTAGATAATTGGTTTTAATTTTACTATTGACGTAACTTAATTCTAGACTGAAGTCTTAATGCTTAATATTGTGTTATAATTAATATTGTGTTATGTTATATGGAATGACTTTCTGACTTTCATAGGTAAATCTGCCTTTTCAGTCTCAATAATATTACAATACTCCCATTATTATGAGCTGATTCAGATCATAATATAAACATGAAATTGATAAGATTATAGTTAAGAGTCCATTGCAAATTCCTTAATCAATCAACTTTCCCACATAGCATATTCTCAAAACATCTTCAATTTCATGCACAACATTATTCAGCACACATACACACTCACACTCACACACACACACGCGTGGCATATGCTTAATTGCGTTGAATTTCATGCGTTTTGCATTGCCTAGTTTGCTTGCCTGCTTGCTCGCTCTGCATACAGTTGCTTAGCTAAGGCATTTCCTGTCTCGCTCTCTCCCTCTCAGTCGCTCGGCCGCGCGCAAGTGCCAAATTATTTTTGCATAGCTAAAAATAAAACGCACAAAATAGCCAACCAAATTTAATTAGGCACAACAACAACAGCAACATCACTAACGGCACTTCTCTGCCGCTCTCGCACACACGAGCTGGCGCGAAGACAGCGAGAGAGAGAGAGAGAGAGAGAGCGCGCAGAGCGAAAAAGCAACAACCAAAATTGTCACAAATGGCCGCTGCAGGCGTCGCGGCGCCAGCGAAAAATTTTGCTGTTGATTAAAAATTGATCAAAAAACATAACAACAAACAAATTATGCATAGTTGTTGTTGTTGCTGTTGTTGTTGCTGTTGGTGTGCGTGTCGCAGCGAATTGATTAAAAAGAGCAATGCGATTGAAATTTTATTGGTAAATTGAATAAAGTGCGCGCCGGGGCGCCAACAACAATAACAAAACTGGATTTCGTTTTTCGCAGTTGCTGTTTTGATTTCGCTGTTTAGTGTTGTTGTTGTTGTTCTGGCTTGTGCTTTCCAGCGTTGCGTCGCTGTCGGCGTCGCAGTCGTTGTTGGCGTCGCTGCCAAAATGCTTGGTACAAATTAATGAGCGTGCACAATATATACATATGTACATATGTGCTTTATGCATACAGCTGTATGAGTGAGTGTACATGTGTGTGTGTGTGTGAGCTGACTTGCCATTGGCTGCTGTTTTTGTTGTTATTGCAATGCTGGCAATTTGGTTTGGAGCGTTGTTTGAAGTCACTCAGCAATGAAATAATTCAATTAGCGCATGGCTTACAATTTCTCATAGATGCGAAATTAATAAATACTTGTGTAACTATATATATATAATATATGTATATGTACATTGCTTGGGATATGTTGACTGGTTAGATAGCACCTTTGCAAATTAGACAGCAAGCAGAATCAAGGAGAGTTCAATTGTGACATAATTGCGATAATTATTAAAATTATACAGTGGACTTCAGCTGCCAGTAAAACGTTTACGAATGCCATTCGCAGTGCAAATGCGGAAAACAATAACTTCCTTTAGAAATGTTTGCAAAGTGATCATTTATGACGATCAATGATGTCTGTAATTGTATGGATCAGTCAGTAAAACGTTTACGAAAACCATACAAAGCATAAATATGGAAAGCAGAAAGAGAATACTACTGCTTAATAAGAAATAACCATTTAATAATCCGAAATATATATCTGTAATAGTTTTTGCAATTGTACAGCTGAGTGGAGCAGCCAGTAAAACGTTTACGAAGGCCATACAAAGAAAAAAATTGAAAAAATCAATAAAATTTTAACAGACGAGTCAGTTAAACGTTTGTTAAAACCACACAAAACAAAAATGTAGAAGATAGCAAGCAAGTTACTAGGATAATAAAATTCCAATTATAATTATAAATAAATATGCGATTACTAAAGTTGTAGCATAGAGCTGAGTAGCGCAGCCTGTAAGACGTTTTCGAAAGCCATTAAAGAGAAATCATTGAGTAGTATTACGTAAGCACTGAACTCGACTTCAGTCAATAAACTTAAAATTAATCAACAGATCTGTTAGTAAACAATTGGAGAAAGGGGAAAATCGAAAATCTCCTAAACTATAGAGCTATATAAACCAAATCCCGGTAGAGATAGGGGCGCAACTAAAACGTTTACGAATGCGAACAGCCATTGGTTCACTTACCCTCATTGGCCTCCGTTTGCATCAAGTTGCGTGAGGTTGGCTCCATTGCTGTCACCTCCACATCCAGTTCCTGCTCCTGCTGCTGCTGCTGCTCCTCCGCCCGCTGCTGCTCCTGGAGCTGCTGCAGCTTCGTGGCGGCCGCATTCGCCCGCTGCAGCAGTGCCATGTGGCGCAGCATGTGCACGGAGGCGCTGCCACTTGTGGCAGCCTGGCAGCCTGGATAGCTCGAGTCGCTAGCATTGGAGCCGCTCAGCTGATTCATGGCCAGAAATGGCGCCCAGCCGGCTGCGGCCGCATACAGCTGCAAAGCGGAGGCGGCATGCGGATGCGGATGTGGTGGATGATGCGGATGTGGCTGTGGATGCGGATGTGGATGCACGCCATCGAAGTGGGGCAGGCGGTGCAGCGGAGGCTGGGAGTGCGCCTGCGCAGCGGCTGCCAGCTGCTTGAGCAGTTGATCCATTTGTGTGGGGGGCAGGTGGCAACTGTTGCATCACATACACACACACACACACACACACACTCACGCGCGTCACTACGACAGGCGCAACGATAAGGACGCTCGCGTCGAGTCCTTTGGCTGCTGTGAGACTCGGCGACCCACTGTGCGGCGGCCGCGGCGGCGACAAACAAATTGATTCGAATTAAAATTACGCTCACAGCTTCGCAGCGCTGATTTACGCGGAAGGTAACAACAGAGCGAGAGCGAGTGAGAGCGAGAGAAAGTGCGAGAGAGATAGCGAGAGCGTGCAATAGACGGCAGGAGAAAGAGAGCGAGAGAACGAGATAGAGTGAGATGGAGCAGAGGCGTGCGACGACGCTTCAAAGTTGACGTCTAAATGAAAATGGCAAAACGGCAGCGACCGCAGACGACGCGACGTTGACAACAAACGACGACGACGACGACGACGACGACGATGGCGATGGCGACGGCGACGCTCGTTTTGTGGCATTTGTTTAATAATTGCGTACCCCCATATGTATGCGTGTGTGTGTGTGTGTGTGCGACTAACAACAACAAAAAGTGTCGCAGCTTTGCTTGGCATTGGTGGGTTTGTGTCCATGCTAAAAAGTGAGACGGCAAGCGACACCTGCAAAACAGCAGCAGCAGCAGCAGCAGCAGCACCACAAGCGCAGCACCAACAACAAACAACAGCAACAAACAACAACAAGCGTGAGCATTTTTCAACACTTGTGGCCAGCTGTTGTTATTGTTGTTTTTGTTGTTGCTGGTCGCATGCGCGACTGCAAGCAAAAATCATTAACGTTCAAATTTATGTGCGCCAAAGCGAGAAATAACAAAACGTACGCAGCAGCGACGGCGGCAGCGCTGCCAACTGTCGTCGTCGTCGTCGTCGTCGTTGCCGTCGCTGCTGCCGTTGCAATATAAAGAAAAATGGTTTCACTTAACAAACACGCCAAGGCACTGGACTCTCTTCCACTCGCCATGCTGCTCATTCCACTAAGCACACACACACACACATGCACACATGCACAAGAGCGCACGCACACACTCGCACAGTCACGAACACAATAATGGTATTTTTCTGGCTCAGTGCGCGCATGCTAAAGCGAGAGAGCTAGTGAGAGCGAGGCGCAACAGTCAACGATGAGAACGTCGTGAAAATGAAATGAAAAACGCCAAAAAAATTGATTTAAAGTGAATATGTGTGTGCATGTGTGTGTGTTTGTGTGTGTGACTGGCGCTTTTATGTGTATGCGCGTGTGTGTGTGTGTGTGTGAGAGTGAGCAGAGCTGGCAACCAGCTACATAGATGCTGTTGCTGTTGCTGTTGCCGTCACGGCTGCTGCTAGTGCGGCAGCCAGAGCGAGACAGCGCTACAGACACAGGCGTGGCCAAAATAAATACTGGGAAATTTGTGCATGCGTCGCCCTGCGCTGGCGTTATGATTATGGGCAATCGAGGCGCAAGGCAGCGTCGCTGCCAGCCGTTACGACGCTGCTCGGCGCAGTCAACTGACATTTTATTGATTGTTTTATGCGATTATAATGTAATAATGTCTTAAATATGCAGCAGGACTGGGTGCCCCAGAGCAGCAGCCCCACTGGCTGCTAACGTAGCTGCTTCTGCTGCTGCACACTGCGCAGCTGCGACTTTTGCGTCTTTTAAATGAATTATGCACACACACACACACACACACACACAGATGCATACCCACACACAAATTGCCGCCCTCGCTGACCATTTGCTGTGCTGCAGCCCAGCTATTCGCCCCGTCTTTCACTTCTTTCGCTCTTATGATTGGCAAAAAAAGGCAAACACAAATACACACACATACACACAGAGACGCTCTGCTGCTGCTGCTGCTGCTGCTGCTTCCTCTGCTTCGGCTTTTGTGTGTAAAGTGTTTCGTCTTCTTCTTGCTCATCGTCAGCGTTTTTATCGGCCAGCAAAAATCTATAAACGGGGCAGCGGCCGCCGCACTCAACTCAATTCAATTAATTTTCACTTGATTTTTCCACACACAAACAAATTTTCATTTAATTTGCTGCGGGGCGTTTCGTTTTTCTCGATTTTCTATTTTACTTCTAGCTGTTGTCTGCTGCCGCAGCCTCTTCCTCCTCTTTTTCTTTTTCTTCTTCTTCTTCTTCTTCTTCTTCTGTTTCGGCTGCTTATCGTACGCCATTTTCTTGTGCTTGATTTTCTATTAAGTTTACTCTGCAAAGTTTCATACCACCCACTCCCCTCTCACTCACTCGCTTCCTCACTCTATCTCTATCTCTCTCTTTCTCCCTCTGGTATTCACACAAATCTACTTTGACATTTGGCCCGCTCTCATTTTATTTATCATTATAGAACTTATTCGCGCATCATCATTATAATGTATATTGTTTTTGATTTGCATTTTCATTTTGATTTTCATTTTCATTTTCGTTTTCGTTTCAATGTCATTTTCTTTGGGCTTTTCTCGTGTTGCCCCCTCACCTGCCTGTTTCGAGTGATAAACGTAATTAAAAGTAAATCAAAAATATGCATGATATGAGCAAATTGGACTTCATGCGAAATTATCTACAGCGGGTCTAATGCGTACAGCCCCAACCATTTTGATGGGCTATAATGGACCTAGTTAACTCCATCCCAAATGAATTCAACTCTTTAAAAATTAAAATATAGATAATGCTCAAACAGTATATGATGTACATTATTTTATAACGGGAAAGATTTAACTGAGAATTAGGGCATAACTCAAACTTCATTTATCTAGATAGTTGTCAAATCGATAATCGTAGCTTCTATGAGTTTATGAAACCTTCTTGAACATTCTCAAGTCCTCCAAGCCTTTTATATTTCCATAATATTCACTTAGAACTTGCAGATATTAATACTTAATATGTTTATGATATTATTTTTATTGTTTTTTAAATTTTAAATACTGCAAGAAATACTGTACTATTCTGTTAAAATTAGTTCAATTATTTCAAGTTCTCATAAAAGTCTCATATTGAAATAATATGTTTGGCATACACTTACTATATAAACATTGTTGTGAATATGAATATTAATCATATTTGATGATAAAATGATTCATTTTACTTCTTACCTATATATACAATATGTATTACTCTAACAGCTCCAGAAATATCTACAGAGATTATTATGACGACATCTTTTTAACATATTATTAGATTTTCTCTTTTATATTTTTGTAAGTTTTTTTTTTTTTTTTTTAATAACAGAATCATTTAGAGTTAATTAAATAACTCTGTCTAAGTTAAAGTTGAAAACAAATAGATGGGATAGAAAATTATTAAAAAGATTTGTTCAACAATCAAAATACATTTGTAAAGTTAACAACAATTAAGAAATATAAATATATAAAATATACATATCAACAATTTAATATAATATGATGACTTCAGTATATCAATATACAAATATATTTATACATACAGTATATAAACATTATCAAAAGTTAATTTTGAAATGATTTCCATTTGGCGTTGTCGTACGTGAAATGGCCTTTTTATCGCTTGGCTCTGATCAGAAATCAATTATTATTAAAAGCGCATTAAAAACAATAAAAATGGCATTAAAATAAAAATCGACAATTAATGAAAGGCAAAAAGGAAAACAAATGCAAATGCAACAACGACAACAACAACAAAACAAAGGCCGAAATAAATAAAACTTTGTAAGCGCTTTGCCATTTGAATGAATCAAGTTTCGAATGCTTATCAATGGCTGGCTCCATATCAAGCAGCCACCCCCCCCACCGACCAGCACCCGCCTCTCACCCTCTTTGATTTGTCTGTGATTTTTATTACACTTTATTATTATTTACCTACTGTCGACTAATTTGTTTTTAATTTGTGCTGATAAAATTGATGAATAAATAAAACGAACGTCGAGCAAATAACGAAATTAATAACTCAGTGCGTGGGTGGGGAGGTCTACCTAAAAAAGGAAAAAAGCTATAGATAAAGGGAGAGGGCGGTTGCGGATGTATAAAATAAGGCAACCCCTCGCCCATCCCCCACCCCCCACATTATGTATATGAGCCGCAACTAAACGACAGAACATGCCACAATAATAATTACAATAACAAATATCAAATATCAAATATCAAATCTCAAATACTCACACTTACACTCATATTCACATTCACATTCATATTTGTATTCGTAATGCCCGCCAACAGGCAACAAATAATGTCATTATTTGCCCCCGATTGATTTGTCAATCGGTATTATTTGATATTTCCAATTGGAATTGGAGCGCGCTTTGATATTGTGTAGTTTTTTTTTTCGTATGGATACTTTGGGGATACGACACCGTTGGCAGACCCTACAATTATAATGAGGGAGATAGAAAGAGAGAGATTACAGAGAGAGAGAGAGAGAGAGAGAGAAAGACAAAGAAAAAGAGAGAGAAAGAAAGACATCTAATGGAATAAGGAGAAACTGAAAGCGATAGATTATTGTCAGATAGATTTTGAGAAAAAGAGGGCTAGAAATTAAGAGATGAATAAAGAAAAATAGATAATATAGATAGAAAGAGGGAGAGACAAAGAGAGAGAGAGAGAGATATAGAGAGAGACAGAGATTAAAAATGAACAGAGAGAGCAGAATGGGAAAGTCAGTAAATCCATTTGTTAGTACATTCTATTATCAAAGAGTTCTTTTGGAGCCATACTAGAAGAAGAAACTCATTAATTTAGATATATACGTAAATATACAATATTACTCTACAAAAGAACATGTAAAGCAATATTCTGCAAACACTAAAGCAAAGACTAAAGAGTTTGAGAAATAAAAGATCTACAGTAGATATGCCCTCTGAAAGGTAGGACAATTGCTACACACTTAATGCTGTTCATACTTTATAAAAGTAAAAGAATCTGAAAAATAGTTTCTCCATATTTATACATATATGATTTTAATTAAGTTATCTTTAGATTCAATACATAAGACGAATCTCTAGAATATCAGAGAGAAACATTTCTCGAGCGAATACTGAAACGAAATTTCTTTATGTGCCTTAGCTCTGGCTCTGACTCTTTATTTACATAATAACTATTAAATATACTAAATAGATATTTAATATGAGTAAGGCAATATTCTTGCACTTCAATAAACTAGTGATGGTGGTGAAAGGCCCGCTGGCATCCCTGTAGGGTATTGCGTGGCGCGTATATTAACTCAGCTGTTGCCCTTTCGCCCCGCAGCAAATGA